TCTTCYGGTCCCAACCTTTCTACAAAGTGGTAGACAGCTCTAGAAAGCTCATATCCTTCAAAAAAATATTTGGACAATCTCTAAGTCTAAATGTTAAAATTGYGTCGGATAGGTTATAAGATTTAAAGGTCTGGTACGCCCTCAAATTTTCAATACAGGACCTAAACATACAAATCAATTTTATGCTAATAGTTATTCGAATGTTAAAATTTAAGACAAAATACATTTGCTCCCGTTTCAAAATCAATTAGTTATGAAAGGAGTAGCCAACGTCTGTTATAAACCGCTATTAAGTCTCTTATCTTATCGATGTGGGATCCTTAACAATGTGTCAGATACACCGACAATCGCTCCACGCCAACGCTCTCTTTTCTTCTCTTTCCTCTCTTCTTCTTCCTCTCGGCATAAGCTTTCCACTGCGCTGAAAATCCACGCCTTGTTTACCCTTATTTTTACCATCACTCTTCACACCTACATAACGTTGTTCAGATCTGAAACGAAACTTTGTTTCATATCTAAAGCCAAAATTTATATTGGATCTGAAATGACCAGAGGGTTGTCGTGGTCGACGGTGGTTATGGGCGTGGAGCGGTCGCCRGTATATTCTGAAACGGCAGTGGCGCCGGACGCCGGTAGTCGATGTTGATAGGCGGTAGTTGACGCTGGCAAGCTATTGCCGGAGAAGAAGAGACGAAGTGGAAAGGAGAAGAGAAAGAGGGAAGAGAGAAAAGTGAAAAGATAAAAAAATAAGAAAAAGAAAAAAAAGCCACATATCCAATAAAAAGCCACATAAACTATAATAATTTAAAATTCATAAAAAAAGAAAAAAAAATGAAACTTCATTCAAAATAAGACATGTGTGTGATCCAAGCCACATAGTACATATTCGAATATAAGACTTCATGATAGATAATACCGTAAGACTTTATTTTCTTACCACTGAGTATATAATGTAAGTAGAGTTGTATAAAGTTTGAATTTATAAAAGGAGAACACATTTTGGAAAGGATAAAACTTRGTTCCACACTAGTAAGGAGCAACATTGTCCTTACCTATCATTGAATATTTGATAAYTAAGAGAGAGAAATGCAAAAACAAAAATTTATTTTAAAATATAATGAGTTGTCAAATATTCAATATCGTATTGTTCCTTACCAATGAAGAACCAAGTTTTATCCTTTCGAAAATATGTATTTAGGAACCCAATGTCCGAGCTTTATATTTCATGAGTTTGAGTTTAAAAAACAATAATTTTCTAGGAATATATTCTAGAAGTTCGAACTAAAAGCTTACATTTGGAGTGTAAGTCTTTGAGAATGTGTGTTTGAGAGGGAAGTTTGAAAAGCTTCTCTACATGAAATATAATGTGATTTTTTTTAGATAAGAAATGTAGTGTGAGTTTTAGTTTGAGTATTAACTGTTTGAAAAAATATCAATTGGATTTCAAACCTTTTTAAAAATAAAATATTTAATTTAGTTTTTACCCTCAAATTGAGGGGAAAATTGACAAAATAAACTTCCTGTGAGACCCTCTTAAGTTTTTTAATAGCTCTTCTCAAAACACAAGTTTTCTAGTTATTGCTAACATTACCTACTTTGCCAAATGACTTCACATGCCCCTCCTTACCCTTTTAGTTTTCCTCCCTTATTTCTCTTTTTCTTTATTTCTTCTGTCTACCTCCATCTTCCTCCTTTTCCAGATTTTTTTCTTCTCTCTTACTCTTTTCCATGTCTTCCGCAAGCATGAGTTTTTTCTTGTTTACTCTACCATAAAAAAAACCTAAATCTCTTACCATTTTTTAAATAGCAGCCTCCATAATTCTCGTGACCTTCAACAATCACCAGCAACGGATGCATCAAAGCCGACGAGGGAGGTCGTTCATCAAAGAAAGAAGTTCAGGAGAGGAAGAAGGTTACGATGGGATGGGGAAGGAGATAGAGAGAAAGTTGAGAGAGAGCGAAAAACGATTTTAAAAATTGGAGTGGAGAGAAACGAAATCTCAAATTTAAAATACTAAGCATTGAAGACTTTTTTAACTAAAATTTTAGTATATTCAAATTTGAAATTTAATTTAGATTTGTTTTCTTAATTGTTTTTTTCCTCTTTAATTATTTGAACGAATCATTTGAAAAATTAACATAAATCTCTCCTTTAATATCTCCCCTAATTTTGATTAGATAGTCCTCCTTTAATTGTGGAAGTATAAAAAAAAATCATGTTTTTTCCTTCATCTCTTCCTCATAAATCTGCTCCTTTAATCCTAAATTTAAAATTTAATTTAACTCAATTTGGTGGAGTAAAGAAAAAAAAAAACAATCCCTTTTTTTGTTAACCATCCCCCATTTTTTTCGTTATTATCACCACTTCTTTACCTCTCTCTCGATCTCGCTCTCTCGATCTCGTTCTCTCTGTCCTTCTCGATCTCGCTCTATCGATGACGCCGCTCTCGTTCTCTCGTTCTCGCTTTGTCCCTCTCTCTTCTCTCCCCTCCCTCCTCGACGCATTTGGTTTTGGTTTCATGGAGAAAAAGATAGTCACGGGACGTGCAAGAGATATAGAAGGAAAGTTTTTGAAATCTTGAAAATTTGATTTTAGAAGAGAGGGTGAAAGAGTTGGRAAAAATAATAAGGAAAKTTTTATCTTATTTCATATGCAAATTAWTCTCTYCCTCTTTCTCGCCGCCGRCAATGTTGTCATCGTTCAACACTGTCGTCGGAGAGGCCACCAGGGAGGCGCAAGAGCTCGGGATGGAAGCAGCGGACGACAACCGAACGGGACCTCCACTCGTTGAATTCCTAGCGGAGACGCCAAAAACTGGTGTGTGTTGTGTAGAAATCACGGAGAAGATCAAGCAAATCTAAGAAATGGAGGAGAGAGAAGAGAGATGGAGTCTGGAAGAGAGAAAAAAGTAAGGAGGGGCATGAAATGTCATTTGACAAAGTATGTATGTCAGCAGTGACTAGAAAACTTGTGTTTTGGAGGGAGTGATTAGAAAATTTATTAGAAAATTTAACAGGCACCTCCAGAACGCTGTCAATTTTTCCCAAATTGAGGTAGAATTAAAATTTGTAATTAATTGTAATAAAATAATATTGGAATTTTAATTTGTTTAATTTTCTCCTTTTTAAACATTGTTTTATATGAATATATATACTTGATTACGTTTGTGAAAACTACTTTATTTCACACCTAAATCGTGTGCACAAAACTATTGAAAGTAGACATAATGTTTTTAACTACTATTTTACAGATATATGAATACACACTGAGACCAAGATATTAGTTTGTAAATTATTTTTTCCATATCAATTAAAATTGAGTCCAAATTCTTAGTCACGTGGTGGTATAAAGTACATTTTTAGATATTAGTTTCTAAATTAATTTTTTCATATCAATTAAAATTGAGTCCAAATTCTTACCTCAAGATGATGAATGTCACGTGGTGGTATAAAGTATGTTGGAGGTGGATTTTCAGCTCACTCATGGCGTGAGACGATTGAGTCATAGAAGACACATAGCTCACACTGTCGAAATGTGGTCACTAGATCGGTCAAGCCGATCTCTCAGGTAGTTGAGTCGACCAAGCTATGGAAAAACATGTTCCCAAATCATTGGTCGAGTCGATTGCTTCTCTTCAGTTCAGCCCCATCTCCGACAGACTCCATGACAACACTCTGCGTCTCACGACAATCTTTAAGAGTCGTTGAAGCCTTGTTGGGAACACGATCGGGATCTCGCCTATAAATAGAACTCATTTGCTCCGTTTAAAAGTTCACGAACATCCCTTTTCTATCTGAAAARCATCTCGGATTGTTCCTGACTTTGGCATCAAAGTGTTATTTGTTTTATAGGTCGCCTCTCTAGTCTCCTMCAGCTCGTCCACCAGGTAATCTTGGTTTTCGAGCCGAGGTTCACGGTGTTGGTCATTTTYTTGATCAAACAAAATACATTTTTAAKATAGATTTTTCAAGAATAGGTTAAAAAATCAAAAACATTTTTATAAAAGGAATTTTGAGTTGTGGTACAAGTGTCACTTTGCATAATAAGACTCCCTCACGCCTTGTTCAACTTTTCCCTGAATATGTAGGAAAAATTATTTGTCAAAGTTTACACTTGATATGGATAATGTCTTAGTGCTAAAACAAGATAGGAATTATAATGTGAAATAACCAAAAAAGAGGTATGAGAATGAATAATAGTTATTTAAAAGATGTATYAGTAACAAAGTATTGTTATTTTCCAAAAGTCTTTTATCATATAACATAATGTTTTTTTTTTGTTGATAAATATCATATAATATAAGCGACTTCTACGTGACATATTGAAAGAGARGTTATTGAACATCTCAAATATAACAAATCATATCTCAAAGTTGATGAATCATTCCAGAACCTCACTTAAACTTCGACTTTTAAAAGTTGAGTTAAGATATCAAATAGAACCTCTTTCAACCGCCCACCCACTATCGTAAATTTYGCACCCTAAAATCTCATAGCTGTGTGTAGYGATCATTGAGTGGTCGRTCCCATACATCAACACTTATAAATATAGAACGAACTTCTGTATTGCGAATTTGATTGATCATCTCGAGAGCTTAYTTAGAATTCCACTAACTTGAGCACCAACACTCTTTTCTTTATTTATGCAGGTTTTGTTGTACTTTGTGAATCCAACCCCTATTATTTTCGTCACCATAATTTATTATAAATAAAGATAATAACTCAATTAAAGAGGTCAATCATAATTTTAATTTTATTGATATAAACTTCACTAATATAATATTTCTCAAAAGAAAAAAAAAAACTTCACTAATTGTTGAAGTAAATCCCGGATTAATTTTGGCCACAAATTTATGAATATAAAATTCAAATGTATCTCCATCTTTACCTTTGTAATGCACAAATTACGAAATTTCGTTTCTAGAAATGGAAGCCCAAAAAAATAATCTAAATTTATTATTGTTCAACAATTTATTATTATTAAATTTATATTTCAGGGATGGAATTGATTTGGGACTGGGATTCAGTGAGTCGYCTCTCCAAACTATAGCGACGCGAAACTTTGAAGCTCGCTCCATTTTTTCCGGTTCTCTGTCGCCATGGCGCTTCTGCGGCACTCCATTTTATGACTTGCAGTAGGCTCATACCCAGCCGGTGTAACGGTGCCACTTATAATGGAACTTCCCGTAATCAATGGCTTTCACCCATTGCTCCGTTCCTCCTTATGCCCATGCCCTTGTTCTTCAATCCGTAGCCTCTTCTTTCACCGCAGGAAGATGTTTCTCAGGTCAGCTGGATATCAAAATTCCTACCCATTGCTGCATATTACAGCGAATGGTTCGTTATCAAGTGCTGCCGTAAGGGCCACTAACGAGCAGGATTTCTGGAATGATTGTGAGTTTGTGGAGGTGATTGGCATTGGCAGTAGAAAGGAAGCCGTACTTGATTTTTGTCTCGAGTCGTCTCTCAGGATTTCATCTCTGCGATTTTGGTAATTTCAAGATGTCCATGTTCTCAATTCTGCACAATGATAGCAACTACTTTTTTGCTTTTAGAATTTTGGTTGTTAGTTGAGTTACCTTCATAATTTCGCTGAAGTTATCCGAGAAAAGTTTAGGSTCCTTTGATTAAGTATGGTTTTTGTTTTCATTTTTAATTTCAATTTAAGTGTTGTGAAAAACGAAAAACATGATCGAGTAGTATCATATAAAAATTAGTTGTCACAATATGTTACTGACAGAGTTATTATGGTAAAGTCCACTTACAACAATTTGGAAAGTTTGGGAAGTGATGATAAAATTGAACCCCCTATGGTTGATTTACTACTTGTTTTCCCTTATCTATGTTTTCATTTTCAAACATAAGGGGAGAAAAGCAAACGTAGTGGTACTAGAAAAAAAAAAGGTTAATTCCTGTTAGTTATCTATTGCTAGGGGTTGGTTAATGGTTTCACTATTTTAGTTACTTGTGAAACTCAACTGAAAAGTAAAGTTGTATGTTGTGAGGAGAATTTGATTACATATTGTATTTTTTTTACAAACTTTTTGCAGGCAAATTGTAACGAACGATTCACTAAAAGTGCAACTAATTCAGAGGTTCATTGATAAAGGTTCTTTCACTCTTTYCATGTTTGATTTTCCATTTTAAGCTGTTGCCATGCAAGATAGGCTGATCACCTAGAACATACAATTGAGTTAGGGTAACTTCAAATTAGCTTTTTTCTGTTATCTTTTGCTCGCAGGCCAATACAGTTAACAAATTAGTTCACCTTGAAATTACAAAATCTGGAACTTGCTTTAATCTAAATACACACCTTGAAGTCTAACATCATAAGGTTTCCAAATGCCAACAAATTAAGTGTAGTTAAGAGAAAAGAGAGAAAATAAAAGGAAGAAATATCGTTTGCATGAGAGAGCAAGTTTTTTTTTGTTGTATTTTTTTAATTCTGAATGAAAATTTAAATCAATTGACAAGGAGAACTGGAGAAGTAAAGAAAAAGTGAGCATCAATCATTTCTAAAGGTAAACTGGGGCTAGTTGATGGTGGTGGTTGGATGGTCTCTGGCTCTCCATTGTGGAGGATTACAAAGGGTAATGCCATGAAAGGAATAGCTGTTTTCTATGAAATCTCTCTCGTTAACAAATTGGTCCAAGTTCCTATTCTGCTGTCAACTTTTCGCAAAGAGAGGGAGATTAATAAATGTAAAGTTTTTCTTATAGACGTTATCCTTGGATACTCTAAACATCAATGATCAAGATCTAAATGGAAATCCTCAACCCAAATTTATGCTGCCTTCACAAAAAAGGTTTGGAAGATGCYAATCAGCTTTTCTTATCATGTTAGATGTTGTGGAACAGAACAGACTTCCATTTTAGGTTGCCTCCTAGATCCTCCAAAGATTTTGGGCGCATAGCTTTAAGGATAAGAAAGAGCTATTCTTGGTCAATAGTTTTTGTGTGCTGTTCTGAGAAATATGGGTTGAATTGAATTGAAGAATTTTTKATGAGGCAAAAAGCTTAGACTAAATCTGATGTTGCTGTATATATTTCTTCTTCTTGATGTCTTCGATCAAACACTTTTTGTAATTACYTTTTATCTAATAAATAGACATTGGGGATTTTTTTCCCACTTCTCTAGTCCTCTTCCGTCCTTTGGAAATTCCATTATCTTAATGAAATGAATTCTTATAAAAAAATTCTGCAATTTACTATTCTTCAAGTCATCCTTCATTTGGTTCAAACTCAAACATACAGAGAGACATGCAGACATACTTATATATATGTGGATGTATGTGTACATCTACATATATGTATATATGTCATTGAGATGTATTATTTCACTCTTTTTTGTTTTATATAATTTCATATTGTCTAAGATTTTCTATGTTACAGACCTTGAGTCTCTTTAGTTTGATCTTATCCTAATGCGGGAACTGTGATATTTTCAATGTGAGCTAGAGTACAAAGAGAACCACGGAAATTTTATTTTTCAGATTCTCATTATGTGCTTGATCCTAGATTATGTAGATATTGTGCTAGACATATCAATGCATTTCATTTATTTCTTCATTTGCGATCTCTTGTTGTAGGAAGCTTAATTCTCTTCATTTATATTAATACTTGATACTCACATTAGTTACAACATTTAATTCTTACTTCTGAACAGTATATTTCCATATTCACACCCAGCACTTAGTGGGTGAAAAGAAATATAATAATCTATTACTCATTTTGATTATGCTTGCAGATAATACCCCAAGGATGGTTGACGTTCCACTGTCACTACAATCATGTTCGAAGGCTGTTATACTTGTTTGTACATTTCTTACCTAAAAGTCCTTATCTCAATAGAAATGATTATTTATGCCACTAAGACCTGAAAGTTCTGAATTTGATTGCTTGCCTTTCTTCTCTCTAGAGATATTATGTTTGTTATGCTTCCTAGTTCCTTCATGAATTATGATGTTCCTTGGGGATTAAAGAGGAGGAGACTTAATCAATTATTGCTATATATGGTTGACTCTATATTGCCTTCTTACGATGATATTTCATCTTGTTTTTTTTTGGCCTTTTTCTCGTAATAAGAAAAGTATTACGACAGAACAATATTACAAAGAATATCCTTAGAGATATCATATAGTTGCGTGCTGTAGATGAGGAGAATGATATCTTTGTCAAACAATTATTCCGAAGGAAATATGTAAAATTGTAGTTTGAGGATGTATATGATAAGAAACGGGAAATTTTGGGATATTTCCTAAGAGAAATTTTGGAAGCAAAGGTGCAGGTACAATTGGTTGAGCCTCATTTTTCTTCCTTAATTACAGTTATTGGTGTGCATTAAATTGGTTGAGCCTCTGTTACCATTTAGCTAGAAGAGCATTGTTTTTCTTCCTTAAATTACCAATTTTGAAACCACGATACTAACAGCTTGGAACAATATGCAACCTTTTCAAGCAATTTTTCTTCCCTTTACTTTCCCGAAAAGTCTCACATTTTTCTCTCGAACTCAAGGATAATTCTCTTGGGCTTGGGCATGAGAAATAAAGAAGTGTAATACGAGGAAAGGTAAGAAAGGACCAAATAACAAAGAGTTAATCTCTCCCTCTGGATAGTAAATATTTTTTCATTTGTCCAATTTTTTCT